ATCTTAGGAAAAAAGAAAAATATAACTACCTGAGCATTCCATAGTGAAATGAAGGTATCAAGCTTAGTCTACAGAATCTTACAGTCCCAGTTGTAATAGGGACAGCTACTCAAAGATACCCTCTGCAGGACACCAATACCCTGGCAAAACTTTGGATGGAGATATTCCACAGCATGTGTCTGATAAAAACTAAGTTTTCCTGAAAAAAACCACAAGCAAAACCAGATCTTCAGCTCTGAAGAGAAAAGATATTCTTTGTTTTACCTATGTTGAATGAAAATATAGATGTCTTCTTTTTTTCCCTGTTTTTTATCTCCCAAAAATACTGATGTCCACAAAGGGTTCAGACTTGAAAACTGAATAGCAGATGCATTCTTTATGTCAAAAATAGGACGTTGACTGTGCCTACAATAATCAAAGTTTCAATTCATATTCTATCATTAAAACTCTAGGCCCAGCTGAGTATAACAGTTAACAGAGCTGAGTCGACACTGCATGAAAACAGGGAAACTTTTTTTCCCATTTTTTCAGCATTTGATCTTCTGGCCCAAGAAACAGAGAAATCTCATATAAGTACGGAAGGCTGTGGAGCAAGGCCTGTGAAGAGGAGAGAGGTAGATTGATGTACATAGGCTATTACGAAAAAAAGGGGTTTCAGCCATGGACAAAGACAAAATAATATCAGCTGGATCACAAAATTAGTGAAGACTGGAACAGAAGAGACTGGAATTAGCTGGTGGATGACCAAGGAAAATTCCTAGTAGCTACTAGGTAAATGGAAACTAAGATCAAAAAAAGAGTCTGCAGAGGGAACGTTAAGTCTGGGAGGTGTTTGGGAATGAAATAAGAAGCCTGAGCAGTAAAGACAAGAATGAGAGTAAAGATAAAATGGAAAAAGCAAGACTTTAGGAAACATATCAAAAAGGACCACAACCGAGACAAAACTTTGAAAAATTCCAGAATAAACACTTATGTTTCTGAGGCTTCAGAAGTAACCTAAGAGTCTCATAATTTTTGTTGCGCAAATAGGTTTACATGTTGGGTTTCCCCCCTGTTCCAGAAATTCTCTGCAAAAAGTCTGACCCCTCTCATTCATCTTGAAGACTGAAAAAGAACCCCTACAATAGTCTGTTGGCTGCAAGAGTAAAAATCTTGTGTGGTAGATTAATAGACTCCAACAGGCTGGAATAACCTTGTGTGTGTGTATGCAATATCTCAGTTAAAGAATAACACCCACATATGAAGACTTTTAGATTTGCTTTTGTGTCAAACTGTATAGAACATGAAATTGTTAGAAGACTGTAAAGAAGAGATAAAGAGTGTAAACAGGTACGGTACAGTTATAATGCACAGGTATTTCCTTCATTACTAGTTCGCAGTGATTCTGCAACTTTATAGTTGCCTCAGGAAATTTCTGGGAACTTCCAAAGGCTGGAAGAACTTGTCAACGTTTGGACTCCAGAGGTAACTTTAATGAAGCAAAATGATTATCAATTCACCCTATCTTGTTAACATTCATGGTGAATGAGGTACAGACAGCAGAATTCAGCTGAAGTAGCTCTGAATATTGCTTAATTCAAAGGTCAGAATTGTCAGAATTAAGATGAACTGTGAAACTGCTATTTGTACTGTCTTTTCATGATTGATCTTTTGATTGCAGAGAATCTCTGCTTCATTTATTATAAGAAATTAAAAACTATTGACAATTTCTTTATATTTTAAAGAATATTAGGGAAATATTGGTAGGATTCACTACATTTTTAAACAGATTCATACAATGAAGAGCTGAAAAATAATTTCAAATCTTCAACAATTTATTATTTAATATTTTAAATGAAATCATAATAAGAGCTGACTTTTTATACATATATTCTTGAATGTATGTGTGAAACAAAAATATGAAAATAATTGATCTCGAAATGTCAGTGTCTCTATTCCTCATCAAAGGGATCTCAGTTATGTTTTTCATTGTACAGATCCGGACTTGTGATGTTAAAATATGACTTGCAGAAATGCTACGCAAACACAACCAGGTTTTCTCAGGGATTTATTCCCTAAACTAGTACATCTAGAAAAGTTCATGGCTGAAAATGAAAAAATTAAGAATGGTTATTTCAGGGTACAGCTTAGACAAAGGAAAACAAAGCTCTTTGCTAGGAAGAACAACATCTGAAATGATGTGAGCATTCTCCATTCTGTTAAAATGAAGTAAAGTCCTAGAAAAATGAAAAATTTGTAAATAGGCTATGAGCCCTATGCCTCAAATTATACAGACTGAGGAATTGATTAAAAAAAGGGAGGGATAACTTTATATTGATTTTTATGAGTGCTTTGCATGTTCCTTTAATATGACTTTAAATAAATAAATTTATACTGTACTTTCCTTTTGACTGAAAAGTAATTCTTAGCAGCATAGGCCTCACAGTCCCAGTCAATAAATATTTCTATTGTCCAGTGTAGCTGAACAGGGTCTTTGGTGATATGTAGATATTCCTTCTTCTCACTATTTCATGTGCCAAAGGTTGTGCAGTGGCATACACAAACCTTTGCCTCTCTACAGACCTTTTGAGGCTAAATTCCCTCTGCATCAGTCCTAGAGAATAGTATATTCCCCACAGAGTAATTCATATCTCTTTTCTCTTCCCTTGAAAGGTAGCGTACATATCAAATGTGATACAGACAAGTGGCAGCAACAGAGGGAGAAGTTAAACTATGCTGTTTGAATTAGGCCTTTCAGGTCAAAGCTCTCCTTGCAGGAACAGCAGTCAGGAAAATTTGTTTATGAGGCTGCTGACACCAATTAATCTCTGAAGAACTGAAAAAATTATTATAAAAAAAAAATCATAAAACAGCCCTAGTTGTAAGGGACCTTGAAAGAACATTTGGTCAAGGCTTTCATGGAAAATGGAGCCTAGATGAGATTATCAAACACCTTGTTCATTTGCATCTTGGAAACCTGCAGTAACTGGGGACTCTGCCATGTCCCTGAGGAGGTTGTTCCAGTGAATGACTGTTCTTACAAGTAAAAAAATTATTTCTTATACTGAGATGAAACCTCTCTTGTATGAAACCTTGTTGTCCCTTGTCGTCTTCATGTGTCTCTTTGTGAAGAAAGAACCCCTACCCTCTTTGTAGCCACTCTTAAAATACTACAAAATTCTGTATTTGTTGATTGCATTCCACTGGAAAAAAACATGAAAAAATGGTTAGATGAAGAAAGAAAGGAAATTGATCATATAGGTTCTCCAAAGACAAAATTTCTACAAGAATAATGGGGTTGTCTGGGAGACATGAACAAAGAGTTTCTCTCTCTTGGGGACGGGGGGGGATTTATGCTTTTTCCCCATGGTCACATGCTGTGTTAATGGACTGATACTGTTTTATAGTGTGTGGAACTAATCTATTTCTTTTTTTTTTTTTTTTTAAGTCAACCAATCACCAGTATGTAATAAAAATTACACAAGGAATATCAACAAAGAAGAATGCAGGATAGCTTTTATACCACATAGTGAGGAGCTCATGTTATTCCAATTTGAAGAATTTCTGGCCACTCATTCCTAATCCCATGTCACATTTTAGTCATGACCGTGCTGTTTGGGGAGGTTGTGTCATGCATCAGATCCATTTAATGAGTCACATGTGTTGCAAACAGGCGGACTGAGTGATGTTTTGGTGGGGATATTTAAGGACGGTGCTACTTTTGAATCTCTTCCAGTTATAGAAATACAAGTGTTGTGATTCAAATAACTCTAAGGAGAATTCATCCGGAACTCTGAAGAATCCACAAGTCAAATAAATGTAAAAGGTAAAAGATAAAATGCGTGAATTGATGGTTGCCACCTACGATAAAACACAAGAGTCCCTTATGTTCCCTTTGTAATTGAAGAATGAATCTATGAGAAAAGATAAAGAGTATATGGAAAAAAATAACCAACTATATGTTCCCTCAGCCCTCTTACATCAATTGTAATTTGCATAAAATAAAAATCAGAGTCAGATATAGCAAATGGATAAGGTGATCTGCAACATACTCTTCCCACCTGTAAGTGGGGCCCCATTAGTAAACTGGACTCAGGCTCACAGAGGTGTCATAACAGGTCTTTGTAGTAGATAAGTGTGAGATAGGAGTCTGTAAGGAAAAATAAGCAACAGACAATGGTTGCAAAGGAATAAATTTCTAGACTTGTGAGTGAAAAGACACAAGATTTGTCTCAGTTTTAGAATCTTGCAGTGCATAATCATGTCATTTAATCTATCTGTTCTTTGCTGCTTTCCCTATAAAATGGGATAATAATTTGCAGCTTTACAGATAATTAGGAAAAAAAACCCAACAAATAATTAAAGATTTTGATCTTGTCAGTTGGTACAGACACAAGTCAATAAAGTGGACAAAAGGAGTACCTCCCCATGGATAGAGAGGGTGAAGAGAGCATATAATTTGAAACTCCATGTATTGCTTTGTCTTTAATCACTACCACTTGGGCTTCTTGTTTATTCAGGATCAGGAAAAAAAAACGTTCAATCAGGAAAACCATTGTCAAGGAGCTGTTTCTGTTCTGTTGCTCTCCAAAGTACACTGATTCTCACAGCAGGATTTCAATGACTAACATTCTGAAAACTAAAAAAAAAAAACAATTCTAAACCAGATACCTGTATGTGGGAGTAGGGTTTCCACGAGCTTGGCAATTGAGAGACACTTTCTTTTCCTCAGAATCAGTTGGAAAAATAATATCGTCTGGCTCTTGTACAAACACTGGTCCATAATCCACACTTTCTATGAAAAAAAAGAAATACTACAGTTTAGGAAACCTGAAAAAATATAAATACATTATAGTTTTTATAATGTGAGATTAAAGTATCCAAAATTATGTTTGTTTTTAAGAGGTTCATATTACATTTTTTTAGATGCTGTATTGGAAAGCAATATTTAAAAGAAAAAAATAATATTAAGTGAAAAATAAAATACATAATATGCTTTAAATGTTTATTATGCCTTAGAATGGCTTTCTCATCAGGTCTGCAGTCTCATGAGAAGCTCAAAAGAATTAAGAGGAGTTACCTCTGCTTATAGAGAGCAAGGTAAACAAAAATTTTCCTGCTGCTTGTATCAACTTATCTCACAGAAAAGTAATACACACTTTTTCCCTTTATGTCAAGGAGTTGCTAAGAAAAATCACTTGGAAAATTAATGGTAGCAACTGGTGGCTATTATTAAATAATATATAGCTAAATCTGACATTTAATTTTCCTCCACTGTCTTCCCTAATTTTGGCAGGTACCTATATCTTGATAAGAACTTACATTTCTGAACTAGAAAAGCTGGATAGACCCATAGAATCCATCTATGATTCCAATTCATTCTGATTGTGAAATGGGAAGTATAAACCTTCAGAAAAGTAAAAGGCTGCAAGCAGAGCAATCCTGATCACATAGTTCTGAATAATTAAAACTCTAACTAAACACCATAAGTCTGTGGAATTTTAATAATTTTAGACTTACTCCAGACTCTTGGATGATTTAATCCCACAGTGCTCTTCATATTTAGGGCACTATCCAAATGATTTGAGTATGGAGAGAAAGTTACATTTCCCTACTACTTGCAATGAAACATAAGGGAGCAGGGTTTTCTCTGTCATTTTTATGGTTTTATATGCTCATGTCATAGATGTCCTCCAGTTCATACTGAGGACAGCATTACACATGAAACAATTTATAACATCCTGCTATATTTTTCCAACCAGCCTGAAGTGAAAAAGGTACACCTGAACACTTGGGGTTTTAGTCACTGACTTAAAAAAATTATTTACTGCAATGTCATACCAGCTCCACACAACTTCAACTACATGTTATGGTTTCACAGTTTTCAGAACTAAAACTTTTTGCATTCAGCTAACTTTTTGAGAAAAGCTGGGTAGACAAGAAAAGGGAATATGAATCTTGGTACGGAGAAGAAACTCTTGAGTTCTGAAAAAGGATGAGAAACATGGGGAACATAGGTCATAAGATGCAAATTTCCATCTTTAAATTCTTACATTTGGGGTTTCTCAGTTGTCTTATAATACAGAAAAGACCACATAAAATCCCATTATGCTATTCAACCTTTCTTTTTAGTGATGACACACTTATTATGCACTTAGTTCTTGTCTTTTTACACTTCTATTCAACTGCAGATTTTGAAAACACCTCTAGTTTCATGTGTGCATGTTTCTACTGAAATAGATTCAAATAATTAGGCTGTCAGTTTGTGAAGTCAGCAAATAAAAGCAGGAGCAAATAGTAGTTTCTGTTTTCCAGTTTATTAACCTTATTTGTAGGACTGTGTTAAGAAGTGTGGATTGCTGTTCTGCATCTGTACATTACTGTGTAGGTACATTACTTTAGTTGGGTTTATTGGCAGAAATATATTTTCTGGAAAAAATATCTACGTTATTTTAAAAAATCAAAACAGCCAAAACAAGTGATTTCTGCTATGTGCTTATATTACTGAAGTTAAAATTAACTCAGTTATTAAATTCTAAGCAGTGCAGTTGAAAATATCACAGGGGTAATGGATTCAGCTGGCAAAACTTATTTTAAAAACCAGGAAAATGTGAATACAAAAATGTTGTATGGATTGTTTCTTATAATTTGCTCACCTGCTTCTTACATTGCACAAAAGAAAATATTAATGAATGTAGGTGTAAATAATCAGAATTTACATCGAGCTAGAGTTTAGCAAAACCAAGGTTTAATTAATGATAGCAAATCTAAATTACAGGTTTAGATTTAAGTGTTATTCATGCAGATTAGTAGGCATATAGATAGGGAATATATTATTGAAGACTAATGATTTGACCTCTTCCCTAGGAGAAACTCTGTAGATAAAATATAATATCACAGTCTGGGACTGCTGAAAAGATAAGATGATGGTGGTATTAGCAGTAGAGGTGTTACTTCTACCTGTATGTTTTGAAACAGTGGTACTGCATTCCACTTTCCTTTTAAAAAAATAAACTCTAAACTCTTTAGATGGAAGCTCGTGTTCTTAATGATAGTGGCCAAATGGACACTCATGCAGTGTGAACTGAGAAGATGAGATTTTACTTCTGCCTGCAGTGAAGGCAAAGGTAACAGAAATTTCAGTGCATGCAAGCCATGTTTCTAAAAGATGTAGTTAGCTGCTTATCTGTATTTCAAAAGGAGCGTGAAATACTAGCAGAGATTATTTGGAGACTCAGAAGTAACATAACAATGAATGAGTCCTGTCTTCCAGTTTCACAAATACTCATAGGACATTGTACTATAAGACAGCTCACACAACAACAGGAGCTGACCATGGCACAGTCTTGTTCCCTTTCCTCAGACAGAGATTTTTGCAGTTTTTGACAAAGTCATTGACCTAAAGACCTGGAAGAACATCCAGCCCAAGTCTACAACACACCATGGTCCCACAGACAGCTGGAAACTTCCCTCAAACCATGGATGGTGGAGTCAACCAAACCCTCTGACTGACATTGAAATAAAATGTTCTGATTCATGAACCATTGACCGGTTCGTCCGCTTTGTACGGTCTTTTGGGGGAAATAGCCCAGACCTTCTCCTTATTGCCCTTATTTTCTTATTCTATTTAATTTATGTATCATTGTATATGTGGATATATAAGCTATACATATACTTACACACATAGATATATTTTTATACACATGTTTGTTTTCTGATGCCTTCAAGGATCCAAAGGCACCAGGTTTCTTTGTACTCATGTTTTAGCTAACTGTGGCCCATGCTCTTAAACCAGATAGTCCTGTGTGAGTGTGCCTTGCAGGATTTGAGATCCACATCTTATTTTTTCTTTCTAACTTAAGCAAGAGCATAACACTATATGACTATTTGACATGCATATTAGCATATGTATATTTCAATTTACTAATTTAACTTCTCAAGGGGAATATTTCTCTTCCTGACACAGGCTTTTATTAAATAAGATACAGAAGACCAGTTGCTTTAAGTGCTATCTTATTTAAGACCAGTGAGTCTTCGGATTACTGGTGTACATTGCAACCAACCAGTAGAATAGCTGGTTTGTGGTCTCCTTACAAGTCTTAAGTTGCCATTTTCAATCTAGGCAATTAAAAGCACTATGCACTGTCATTAGGATTTACCATTTAAACTGGTATTGTCCAGAAAGGCAAGGATAAGGAAAACATTCAGAACATTAGTAATATTTCTCTTTTAAATTCTAGAATATGATTGAGAGCAAGGCTCAAATATTCTTTGAATACCAGTGTTCTACTTACAGCACTTTTCTACTTAAAAAATACTGGAGTATGTGACTTCTTAGTATCAAGCATTTAAATCCTCATGAAAATGAAAACTGGAATCTGTGTGTCTTGCTATTTGGACAGTTGCCAAAATGTGGTTTCTCTCTCTTACCTACAGACATATTTTTTTTCCTCACCCTCAATTAATGATGGAAAAAAAATCAGATGCTCTTTAGTTCTTGCTGAGCAATACTGATACCATGAGAACAAGCTGCATGCAGATGAGAATTAAGTTTCCTATACTTTCAATTCTACAGCAACTGAAATAATGTCATTCCTCAACAGTCAGCTTTCTTGCCGCCATTCTTGATATAATTCCAGGTCAATAAATACAGCGTGGAAAGGAATTAATTCCTGGAACCTTGGCAACACAGTAGTGAGCAGGAAAGAAATATGTCCCTGTTCAAACACCTTCACTGAAGCTGCATTGACAGTATTATTTTTAGTGTCTGATAATTCTATGTGTTATACTTCTAAAGAACAAAAGAAATGAGGTTATTGTAAATGTTTTCTTAAATAATATTTCTACAATATAATAGTCTACAGAAGGAGAAGGTGTAGCAAATTGTACACTGCATTGGGCACATGCATCAAATGTCATTATTATAGTTTGACCCTGTCTGCAATGCAACAGTACCATTAAAGCCATATGACTGGCCTAAATAGTCTTTTTGGTGCCATCTTCTCAGTCTGAGCTACTGGTGGGAAGAAACAGTGGACAATTTATGTGAAGGAATATGCTCAGGCAGCCTGTGAATAAGGGGAAAGGAAGTATTCCTTCAGGTCTTCTCACCTGCCTCTGCTCATGTCTCTTTAGAAGCACTTTTTAACTGCTGGTGATAGTACTGGCAGGTGGCTTTACTAATCCCTTTGAAGGTGGACTAGACAGATCTTCAGACCAAACACTTATTTTCAGCTGTTATTCTGACACACTGACAAAATTTGTCCAAACAGCAGTTGGAACAAGGGTGATGGCAGCTCTTCTTTGAAAGCAGAGCAACTCAGAAAAATTTAAAAAAACCACAAGTTTTTACATGATCGGGAAAACAATATTTTCTTATTGCTCAATTTTTTTTCCCACTATGTTTCAAAGGCGTATTGTAGATGGAAGAATTTTGTGGAGATGGAAGAATTTTCTAAGGAGAAGCTACACAAGATGATGTAAAACGATAGAACTTCTGAAGCAGCCTAAAATGAGGGATCATTAACAGATCTTCCATCCTAAAATACACAATAGATTCTTCATACAGACCCTACCCAGAAAAGTACCTACTTGACACATCACAGAACAAATCCAATGATCTGTTACTCCTAGGTATTAATATGTACAGGATACATTAAGAAAGTTGAAGGAGTTGTTGATAAAGCTACATATGTTGCTGAAATATGCATATAACAAGAATAATTAAAGTAAACCAGCGCTGTTTTATCTCAAATTGATCCTAAAAAGTGAAAGAAACTTTTTAGTAAAGGTTCATCACATTTTAGTGCTACTCACTATCATTCTTGCTTTAGAATTTCTTTTTTTAACTTTGTTTTCAATTTATGCCTGTTGTATGCACTTCATATGATCTAACAGATCTTCTGATTAGCCTTTGTTCTCATGGAACAGACAGTTTAACCTGTTCAGTATATTCAGAAAATATTTTAGATGTATAGTCACCCTGACTTCAAAGAAAACATTCTGCTTTCATCAGCTAGAAGCTAGAAACTGTCTTTTTTCAAACACCGAAAAAATGAATTAACTTCAGTGCCAATATTTATTTTACAAGTAGGTTCTATAACATAATCTTTCACTCAACACCTAAGAAATAAAGGATTGCTATACATTTTAATATCATGTCAAAATATAAAATTTCCTTTAATATAATGAAAAAGAAACTCATGAATATATCGTGACAAAATATGTTCCAATGATTAAATCTGTGTGTAATGAATTTTAACATTAATAAAGGTGGCTTAAATTTGCAATAATTGTTTTGCATATATAGAAGTAGACATATATATTTGTAATGTATGCATTTCAAAAATACATTTTAATCTCTAAACTACGTTTCAGTAAGTTAAAAGTCAAGAAACTTTGAGGAGACTCCTTCTGAAGTAAATTCAGGCAGATATACATGCCTCAAGGTATGTACATTGATTCTAGTATGCTGCATGCTGCAGTAGTGTACAGTACATGCATAATTAAGTTTACACTGCAAAGGAGATTAAATTATTTTCTCGTATTTTCAGATTATCTTTTCTGAAACATTTTTATTCGTATACTAAGCAAGAAAATACATGTTTTTCCTGTTGCTTGAAATGCTTTCTCTGTTCTGTGGTCTGAAAAAAATAAATCTGTTTTAAACTTACTTTACAACATATAAACCTCATGCCACATGAGTAATGGTGCCAAATATTTTTAACAATGGAAAAAAAAATAGTAATTTGTGTTTTTAATTCAGACTACTGGTAGATAGTAGCAAATCAGGAATTTTCATTCAACAAAACTTAGATTTGCATCTTACATATCTTGGGGTACATTTATTAAAACATAGATGTGACACAAACCCTCTTTTTTATTTTCTTCTAAAATATATCAAACTAGAGATGAAGGGGAAAAAAAAAAAAGAGTCCTTGTTCAAGGTTAAATTCAATTCCAGTAATTCTAAAACTTTTTGGAACAGCAAGAAAATATAAGAGTTTGCAGTTTTATGATTCTTCAAGACTGTTTAATGAATAATTCATACTTTCTATTCACACTTTTTAGTCATGACTTTACACATTGATACATAGTTTAAAGAGAAGGGCTACATTACCTTAACTGGATGTTTACACCAAATAATCCAAGATAGTTTAAATTCAGCAGTGAGCCAAAGCACAGGTCTTTTAATATATCAGGAAATACATGCTGAATTGAGAGTGCAAACCAAATAGTATAAAGTCATTATAAAAGAACCTTTATTAGAAGCCCTGACAGGTGTCTGAGTATGTCTACTGGGAAATCAATTGAGAAGTCACTTGAGAATCTGTAAAATTAAGCAGTTAATAAAAGTATTTTGGGGTGATATCTATGGCAAACTTGACTCCTGAATTTATGCCATATATTAGATGTTTGAATAATGCAAATTCTCTCTTGTAATAACATGTTTCCTCCCCTCCCAAAAATGTCCTCTCACTTGAAGCAGTGTTCTCACTACCATACATGAGCACAGGATGCTGTAGCATTTCCTTATTTAGGGGGCCCTGGCAGATAAACGTGACCACTTAACTTTATCATCACATAGCAGTTGTAGGACAATAACTAGAATATCTTTCCTTCAAGAGCTCTAAAAACTTTAAAAAAACCAAGCCAACACCTTGAAACCAAATCAAAATCAAGAAATTTAATAGTATAAAAAAGCATAATGCCAGATGTTTGAGGTAGTGATTTATTTCTGGTTTTTAAATATCAAAGATATTAATTCAGATATAAAGGTATTAACAGAGCTAAAAGGTTTAGAAATCAGTTGCATTCAGTTGCCATAGCAAATGTGTTCTTGTCCTCTCAGATGATGCAAATTATCCTAGCTGGTCTTCTGCCACATCTGAAATATGCTGGTCTTTTTTAAGTCTTGTTTCATATCTATGCTTGTGCCACACAGCTGCTTCACATAATCAAGGGCTTTTAAAAAATTATTCAGGTGACTCAGATTTACCTATTTCTACAACTGTCTACACAGCTAGATGTACCAAGACCTGTAAGTGGTGGAATAACTCTTCTAGGACTATTTTATGTAGCCTTGAGCAGAAATAGGTTCGTCTCTTCTGAGTCAAGTACTCTATTTATTGGCTCTTTTATAATTTTGTCTCCAGCCAGTGATTTTTCATTTCCTTCTGAAAAATGGAGGAGGTTCAACTGCAGAGTTGGAATGTGGCCTCTACACTGTGGGAAGAGTCATGATTGCACTATATTATTCATATAGTCTGCATTTTTTGCTTTCTCCTTCAGTCTCTAGATATTCATGCTGTAGAAGATCAGGATAATAATTTCTGGTTCTAATACTGGACTTTGATTTTAACCTACCCATATCAGGTTTTCTGTGAGGAGTTAACAGTGTCTGGTGAATGGTCAATAACTGAGTTCAATCTAGTCACTGCTTAAAAGAATATTTCAGAGAAAGGACAAATGTAGAAACATACCTCAATTCTAGAAATGCTACCAAACAGAATTTGCCTACTTACACAATTCAAATTGCTTCCTTTCTAGGACAACCTTAATTCAGGGAACATATTTATGCTTTTATATAAGCCATTTTTCTATACCAAACCACATGCACACACCATTAACTTTCAATTCATGCAAGGCACTTTCCAATGAGAAAGACTTTGCTGAGAGGAGCAGTAACTTGTTATCACACTTATGATACTGTGTGAATGTCGTTGAACTGTATATTATTAATCACAATTCTTTTCTCTGTTACCTCCTTAGACTAATGTTTATATACCCTCTAACCTCTTCCTCCCTCCCTTCCTTCCTCCCTCTCCTTCCCTCTGTTTCTTTATGTCTTTCTACCTTCTTTTGACTGTAATTCAGACAAACGTTGTCACTAAAGAAATGGTATCAGAAATATGACTTTTTAAAAAGTAACCAGACATGAGAAAATGTCTATTGTTACAATGAACTATTTCATGTAAAGATAAATGATACCATATCACACCAGTATGTCTCTCTATGCATGCATGCCCGTGTACATACATGACAGAGTTGACTACACAGAGTAGGTAATTTAGGGAAAAAGTAGTTTTATAAGATTTACTCTTCATGTTTAATTTATGTTACTATAATTCATGATTAGATTAGAAAAATTCCAAAGAGAATATATATATATAAAGTGATTGAGATTTTACTACTAGAAGAAATTGTGCTATAATGGAATTTCAAAACATTAGTTTGCTATTTTCAGGTAACGACACTTGTATAAAACTCTTCTGCACAGAAATTTTTAAGAAAGAATGTTTTAACTGGTGACTAAGACTAATCTGAAGAACCTAAAGGAAGGAAGTTCATTTCCATTTTGTGATATTTAATAAAATTCAAAATAACATCTGTGAGAGACTGAATTAAGCTGATAAAAATGTGCTGGTTTTGAAAAATATTTCAAAGTTTCAGAGTGGTTAATAAGACTTACCATCATGTTTGAAGGTGTCTGAAAAGTGATAGAGGTTTGTTGGGGAGTGGTAATGTTGTGCAGCTCCTCTCCAGCCTGGTGAAGATACACTTCCTAATGAAGGACTGCTTAATCGTGGTCTATTCTTTGAATTAAATGAAGTTAGAGATGAACTACCAGATTTGATTCTTAGGATAGCAGCATATGAAGTGGGGAGACCAGGAACAGCTTCTGAATATTCTGAGAAAAAAAAGAACCAAAACTAAGAAAACAACAAGAAGTGAACACTGAAATAAAAAAAAAAAAAAATTCTTCACTTTTCAAAAGAATATTTAGTTACTCAGTAGAAAAATAAAAAAAAAAAAAAAACTATACAAGGAGAGACAGAAACAACCCAGACTTGATGAGGGACTAAGCTTCTACTGGGTAGCAGCATAGAGCTCTAAATCAGAAAATTACCCTTCAGTTTCATCATAATATAAAAATTAGGTGGTTATTAAATTTCTTACTTATAGAAACTTGAGTTTTCAATGATTTTAGTTCTATTTCTATGGCCTATATTTCTATTACATAGTAGAAATGTGTATTCCAAGTCATCATTGTTCCTTCACAGCCTTTCATTACTTTAAATGTGCAATGCAAAAACACTGACTGAAGCTAAATATGCTCCCGAATTCAACACTACTCTGCAAATCAAGTGGGCTAGCTAAGCAGACCAGGAGCCTGTATGTGCACAAATATCTCCCCCAAAAACATACAAATGCTAAATTAACCTCCTCTTCTGTCTCTGTAACTCCCCTTTTTTGCCTTTTCAGCCTGTATTTAAAATTTCAGTGTTTACAAATAAAGAATAGTGCCTAAGTTTTTGATCCCTGTGTAATGCTGAGTATTACAGACTATGGAAATCAGTTGTCCTGAAAATGCAGCAGTCTTATGGAGGTGAAAAAAAAAACCAAAACAAAACATTTAAAAATACATTAATATAGATGAGCAAAGGAATTCAGGCTGCATATAAAGTGCTTATGAGGGAACGGATCTTTTGGAGGATGAGTGGAAGAGGTTGGAATAAAAAAGATAATTATCAATTTTCCATTTGGTGATAAATACTTAAAAATTGGACATCCTTCACACTGGCATAACATGAACAATGAAAAACTATGAGTGTTCAAAAGTAGCAGCACACTCAATTGACATAAAATCTCTAAAATACTAGATCATGGCCTTGGTGGAGAGCTTGTGCAAAACTATTCTAAGTATATTATCTCAGCACATTATTTGTCTCTGATCAGATGTTAAAAGTTTACCTCTTTTACCTCTCAGAAGAAGCTGAAATTTGGCAAATGATGACCAGTATTTTAAAATTACCATATTCATCTAGGTAAACTCAAAATATACATAATATTTGCGAAGCCATATTGCATTCAAATTTTGGATTTAAGTTTTGACAATCAAATAGGAAAGACACAGATAAACTTGTTTTTCATCCCGGTCTCCCAAATAATCTTTATAATGTGCATTATGCTGTTTTGTATATCATAAGCATAATATCAACTTTCCTGGCCCACAAAGAGAAGGAAAAAAGAATATCATCCTGATAAATTAAGATATAGTATGGTCCTCTTGAAAAAGTATCACTAGAATATAAATATGATTTCATAAACAATATCTTTGATTGTTTTTTAAGACATCTCTTCAACATTTTGTAATATTGATATACTTTAGTTCTTAGTAAATACAGTTTTTCCATAGGGAAAAATAAAATCTTTTGAATACTAGGGGAATATTGAAAAAACTTTAAAAACTTATATTAAAATCTATCCTCATTAAAATAACCTTTTTTTAAAAAAAAAAAATAAATTTTGATTTCCTTGAGGTCAGTTTCTCATGGTCATTGAGGTTACTTGAAATAATTTTTATATTTTTTACTTTTTTTTTTTTCAACAGATGCAAATTTACTTTATGAAGAAAAATATTTTAGATTCTTCCAAATGGAATTTCAGATAAATGAGCTGCAATAGAAACCTTCATGGTTAAACTTATCGCATTAAATGTTTAATACAAAATGGACATTTTCCTCATGAGCAGAGGAGGAAGATATTCCCTGAGGAATATGGATACAGGAAGGGGATAAGGCTTTATCTAACATGGCCTACATAAGAATGTGGCAATGCTTGGTGGTGGACATAGAAGTCCTGGTGGCAGGAGAGATAATTATTTGGGCACTGTGGAGCTCCTCACAGCTCAAATTCTTTTATATACTGCATGGAAATGCTGCAGGAAATCTGGAAACAGATTAGGACACTGTCCCATTTTTCTCACATGAATCTGGGATGTGGCGAGGCTGTAGCCGGTAACAAGAACTCAAGGTATTGTGCAAAGCACTCTTGTTCTGAAAAGACACCACATCGTTTTAATACACTTTCTGCCTGTAACTCACAGTGAGCAGATGATCTCTAATCTACAAGGATGTTAAAATATTAAACTAAAAAGTGTGGTGTCACAGAACTATCCCTGGGTACATTTTAACAGAGAAGTAAACTAGTTGTAACAGTGGTACATATTCTGTTTTACAGGATCCATTTCTACAGCTGGTGGGAAAAAAAAGAGAACACTGGTGTTCACTGTTAGGAAGACATTCCTTCAGAGTGCACACAAACATAAAAGAAATACACATTGGATAGAATTGAATTTATAATTTAAAAAAAAAAATACAGACCTGCCGTTGGTGCCTACTTTACAACACAATACAACAAATCTGAATGAGGTTTGAAATGGAAGCATGATTACAATAACATATATAATGAATGTACTTTTTCTTGAGAACTCTCAGCAGATATAGACACTTTTCTTTTTTTCAGCATGATATTATAGCACTATTTTACTTACCTCGTGGTAAAGGACAAGGATTTGGAAAACTTTACATCTGTACCATATGTCCTATGTAAAACAGTAGTAATTCTCTAATGTCTGAAGACCATTTAAACTATGTAGTGCATTTGTTGATAGCACAATATAGTTCCTCAGATGATGTTCCTGACTATATCAACTATTCAACCTTGAGAGGATCCAAATATTTATTCCTGTGTAATTTCATGGGAAAAGTTATGAAACTGTCTTCCTTGACTGGGTAGATAGAAAAGCTCTGTGTACACGTTAGTCTGAGTAGTACATTGTTTCCTTCACAAATAAATGGAGATTAGCCAAAAGAAATTGAATACTAATAATCATAATTCTTAGACCATTTAATATAGCTTTTGTGTTCCTTTTGCCCCACACTGTCAGCTTGGAAAGTGGGTGGAACAAGCACAGAACTCTGCCTGTTTCTACATAAACATATTATATTGTAATTTTTCCTTTTGTTTTCATTATTGTTTTTTTCAACGCAACGACGTGCTGAGAATAAAGTAAAGACAGGTCCCTGCTCCTAAGTGAATCTGACGCTTAGCTCTCCTCCTTGCTGTCTCTCTTATTTTGTCATCTCCACCTGCTTCCATAAAAGCCCCTCAGAAAACCTTGCATCCTTCCACCACATTCTGCCAAATGTATCGCCCAGCAAACAAATTGAGACAATTAAACACATAAAGAGCCTTCCTCCCTGCTGTCCAGGCATGCAAGAAACACAAAAAGTAGTACATATATACGAAGTTATAAACAAACACATAAAAAATTGTATCCTCTATCACACTTAATTCATTTACCACCAGGACAAATTGCACACTATACACACATAGGAGAGAAAAATAACCTTTAATCCCTTCAAAATTATGCTATGAAATACTTTATCATTTTACTCTTTTTAATTTGAAAGACATACCAACTTGCAAGATGAGGCATATAACAGCTCCTATTAATTTATGAGCAAATAAGTACTCCTGTCCTAGTTCGGGATCAGACTTTATGTTATTAGGGTGAGTACCTGGAACAGCTTGTAGGAACAGAAACATGAGGTGAAGGAGATGGAGGGATAAGCAGGAAGTGTGACTGGAAAAAACAGAAAATACAATAGACTCACTCCAGTAATTTTGCCAATATATCAGTCTGCTAGACAAAAGTAAATAGAAGCCATACTAACATCTCCAGTGGCATGTAACCTCCCTTTCTGCAGAAGTTCGAATCAAAGTGTAGTTTTTGTTAAAGTAACATTTTTCATTTTTAGGCTATGACTCTCCTGGTTTTTTGTATATGTAACACAATGAGCTACTCCAGTAAATAGGATTGAACAACCCTGAAATAGTTTTGACAACTTCTTTTTTGCTGAAATAGTTTGTGTAGGCAGCTTGGTGAAATGAACTTGTTCTGTGCTGCCTCATCAAGTTAAGATGACTGTAATTCTTCTCCAACTTAAAAAGAAATATTTTTTTTTAATTCTTTGTTATCTAGTTGAATGGGGAAATTACTTCTGCAGTCGTAATTCCAGGGTTTGAAAGAACAAAGGAATCAGCAAGATCTCAGACAGCATGAACGCAAAGTACCATGAGAAGAAAGAGAAGACACAAAAGTCACTCCATGTGGTGAAAAGGTCCTGTAATAATGATAGTATTATATATTCTGGTTTCTGACCTTTCATGGTTTAATTGTTTTGTTTGGTTGGGATAAGTGCTCAACTGAAATTTCACCCTGTCTCCAGTTGCTCTGTCATACTTTTGGGGATGCTGTATCTGAGTAAAGTTTCTCTTGTAAAACATAACTGGAAATGGTTAATAAATTATACATAAGCAAATATTTCTTGTTTTGTTTACTGAAAGTCTGTAGCCTGTGATCGTTACTGACAACTACAGCAGAAATCACACTTACCTGAAAACAAAACCTACTTCCTAATCCAAGCAATTGTCTTCAGAGATTTAGACTTCTGAACTGCCTAGTTACAGTGGCTTAATTAAAATATATTTTTATTGGAGTACTATTTACAGTAAAATTATTCCTTTAATTTGGTTTGGATTAGACTTCTGAGATTTGGGAGAATAAATTTATATTTTCCATTATTTAAATACATAGTTAAACTGCTGGAGAGTAGATATTACTCTCTAATGTGTTTTTTAGCTTTACCAGTCTACTCTCAAAACTCTTGAGAAACTTCATCAAAGACCTATGGGTAGTTCTCAAAATGCTGCTGAATTTCACAATGAAATTATATTTTCCCTAAACTCATTCTGAGAAATAAGTTAAATATCTGGGATGAAATATACAGAGGTTCCTACAGCTGCAAGAAGACACAGATAGGGAATATATAGGCCCAAATG